CCCCAAAACCCCAAAACCCCAAAACCCCAAAACCCCAATTTAATCATTAAAGTTGTTTTAACATCAATTTATACATTTTTAGAAAAAGCAATGGACACTGACAGAGACATTATCACTGGTAATGTAGACTACAAGCAGATCCTACCGTGTTTAGAGAAAATCAAACTGAACATTTTCAATATCTGCTTCTGAGCTGCTCATTTGGCCAATAGTTTTAGTAGTTTTTGAACTATTTCCTAACCTGGATAACCATAAAATAAATATGAGCTCTAGAAATATGTTATTCTGAGTCTTACTCTCTCGGCCACATGTTTGGGACTTTCAATTGTTGATATTCCTAAACAAGGTTTCTCACCCAAACTGTTAGAATAATTACCAACGACCTGTGATATAGTGTATGACCAGATCGCACAAGGCCAGTACTATGCCTTAGTGGCAAACATTAAGAAATAAAGGTAAGATTATTCATACTTTCTATGCTGAAGTATCATCTCTGATGACTTTTCTATGATAATAACCTGTCTTAAATACAGTAAAGAATTGAGCAAGTAAAGGCTCCGGGTTCATGCCTGGATTAATACAGTAGTCTTTGCTTTCAGGCTATACATCTGTTAGTTTATCAATGCCAAATCTGCTGAAAAATATTTTTCATAAGTTAAAATCTGGTTTAGAGAAAGAACAGAGTAGAATATTTGAGGTTACTTTTAGGAAAACTTGAGAGGAAAGCTCAGAGATCAGAGCGGTAACTTCACTAGAGATTTAGCAAATATAGAACTAGCTGTAAGAAAGGAAAGCCTAGAAGAGGTAGGTAGTAGTAAATCAAACCACAGATAAAAAGAAGCAGCCTGAAGAGAAGAGTGAGAATAAGCAAGAAGGGAATGAGAGCCATGAGTTTGGAACTCTTCCTGAATTTTTGAATTATACCCAGATAAGTACCCTTTTGAAGTTATATAATTAGCCCCATCTAAAGAGCTTCTCTCTCCGATTGAGAGTAGTGAGAAACATACTGAAAGGTTAGGGTTTCTCTTACTTTTAGTATTACGAGAGCAACTAAAACTCGTCCTGAGAATAATAAGTTCAATAAATTGTTGAGCTTAAGAAGCAGCAGGCATGCACTCTTTTCAAGATTTGACAAATTGTAAGATACCACTCTAAATTCTACAGTCGTGAAGAGGCTAGTTCGAAAACTGGGTCATCAAAGCCAATGAAATATATTTATAAGAATAATACAAAATTGATTAATCCTGGTGCAAGACCTAGTTTGAATGATGTTAAGTCCGCTAGGATTAAGACTCAACAAAAGCTCAACCAGATCTTTACTAGGTCTGATGATACCTCAAAAAATGCACTGACTGACCTTAGAAAAGGAAACCGCCCGTAAGTAATTCCTTATTGGTGTAGAAGTTTAGGGAAGGACACTAGCAGAGGAGTCTCTTATGACCATATCAAACCACAAGTCAATAGTTTCAGATCAATGTAAGTCTCTCAACTAAAGAGTAAACATAGCCAGCAATTTTGAAAAGTAGTTTCACTTTCATTGATGGTTGTGCATTCTTCAAAAACTATCTAGTTTCTAAGACAAAATCTACACAAAATTTAGTATTAAAGAGTGCACTATGTTTACAATCTCACACTTCCTACCTTATCATGACCAAATGTGGAATTGTAACTTTATATAGAAAGAGGCCGAAGCCAAGCACTGAAGATCTCTACAGTATATTTTAACTCTAAGAATAGCCTCGCCATCAGTGAAATTATCTTCGATTCCATCAAAATTCTATCTGTTAAAAGCAATGGAGAGGAGCTCTCAGAGTAAATTCTTACTAACTTTGTAGGGAAGCACCTTGCTGACGACCCTTCAGACCCAATGCGTGGTAAGTCTTTATCCCAGATTAATCTAGGTGGAATCGCTAAGAATCTTAATCATAACAGAGAGCAATTCCTTAGGATGTAAGCAGATTTTCCAACACTCTAGGTACCAAAGCATGAAGATCTCCCGTGAGCAATATGGGATTCGGAAGGAAGCCCAGCATAGTCAGGAAGAAGAGAAAGAAGTCACTCATAAAATCAAAAGTAATCTGTAAAATCAGCTTTTAGATTTATATAAAAAGTCTATGAAAATCAAGCAAGAGCAGTACAAGGAGTGACTTGTCAAACCAGCCCGGATGCCCAAAGTTCCTGAGGTCTTGAAGTTCAATAGTAAGCTCAAATATTGAATTGTAGTCGATCAATGGAAAAAGAAACACGAGAATGTGAAATCAGGATCTAATAAGAAAAATATCATCAAGTTCGCAGAGAAGTTATTCTACTCCTGGGACGATGATGGCTCAGGCATTCTTGAGTTAGAGGAGATCGCAGACCAACTCATATCCATGAAATTAGCCCCAGATAAGGTGTTTGTGGCTAACCTGATTCGATCTCTTGATCCTAAATTTTTAAACAAAGCAGATGATGATTTATCCGTTAATTTAAAAGACTTTCTTAAAATTTTCAAAGATGATCGCTACATGGATAATCTGAAGATTGAAGAAGAGGAGGAAGAAAAGAATAAGACTGATAAGGTATGCTTAAACTATCTTTAGGTAAACAAGAGTCCATCAAAAGAAGAGAATGTAGTGTTCAAATCTGAGCAGAAATAATGCCTCAACAACTCTTCCAATACAAAAGAAAATTGATCAGATAGATGGTGCCAAATTTCCGAAGCGAGAGACTGTAAGAGAAGGTATTCCTCCAGACAAATTATGTTTAGTATTAAAAATCCCGCTTGGGATGACTCTGCCATCTCAAGCTAAGAATTTAAAGCAGTCAAGCTTGGTGACAAAGGTAAATCTTCTTGTCTAAATTTAGCATAAAACTCAGATTTTAAAAATCCCTGAGAAATCTGTCGAGGATAATAACTATTTGAATGAATCTGGAAAAATTACCTTCGCTAGTGAGATTAGCCATAGCGAGAGAGGTAGGCCTATTACAAAAGAGAGAAAGAAAGCAGCGTCTGTTAAGAAGACACTTGGTTTAGTTGAGAAAATGGAGATAGTCAAGAATCATTGGAAAACACTCAACGGAGGAGAAGTAGAATACGAAATTCCTACAAAGAAAGTCGCGAAGTTATTAGTGAAACTTGCAGTTCCGGATATGGAAACTGCTTATAAGGTCATCCGTAAGGCTCAGCATGGTTCATCAACGAGTATGATCAACTATAATGAATTCAAAAGAATCTTCTGCAAGCCTATTTTCAAGAAGGAGTTAGAAAAGATGCTTGTTGATATCTTAAATTTTAACCCTCAGTCAGCAACTTCTTTATTCAAACCTAGTCGAAATTTTTCAAAGAAGGAGAAAGTTACATGTGAGTGTGTCTTCCTTATCTGCTTTAGACATGCCAGAAAATCTACCAATTTCTATTAGGTCAAGTACATATAAACGCAGGTTACTTAGTAAGTTTGCTCTAATCTTCTAGTGGAATCTTTGGCCAAGATTAAGATACCCAAGAAGTTCAAGTTTTAAGCATGCTCAATGATTGCCAAACTTATGAAAGTTAAATGAATGACAATTTAATCTCTGATCTCGGGGTTTTGGGGTTTTGGGGTTTTGGGGTTTTGGGG